ACTGATTTTTATGACAGTAAAAGGTAGGCCTATTTACCTCTATTTATTGCACTTCCCCATTTGTCATCACCGGTTTTGTGGTTTTTTATATTGTACTCAATAAACAATTTTACTTTTAGAAAAAAAAAAAAAAAAAAGGGCTGTTCTGGATGAAACTTCCTCATAACTAAATTTTCATATACTTCCATGATAACTATCACTTAATATAGTCTAGAAGTAAATAAATTCTAAAAATGAAAATTTCAGGTTCCAAACAGCAAAGATATTTGTAATATATTGTAAATGTTCTTTAATAAGGTGTCTCAATTTTTATTTCCTCTGGGAAAACGTGTGAGAGTTCTCTTTCTATAAATTTTCGAAATATTCTAGCTCCTTATTTTAAAATCCTTCACCAATTTATTGCCCGAAGCAACCTCACGAGTTCTTTTTAGGGGTATGTTTTTGATTGCTAATGACGGGAAACATTTTATCACTTTCTGGCCGTTTGTACTTCTTCTAGTATGTTTTTACCCATTTGTACTTTGCCCTTTTTTAAATTGATTTGCCTTATTTATGTTGTTAAGAAAGGGAATATTTTCTTCCGTAATATACATTGCAAATGTTTTTCCAGTTTGTCATCACCCTTAACAATTCTATTTTTTGGGCATATCTTGTTATTTGAATTATTTTTCATTTATATAGTATGTCTATCAATCATTTCCTTGCTCCAAACACCTTTTTACTGAATAATCTATCCATCCTTCAAATAATTTGAAATTCTACTTTTATATTTACTCAATTCTTTGATGGACAATTCCTTGGGGTCTGTTAACTGGAACAGAAGCAGACTTTCTGTTCAGTTCAAGAATAAAGATAAAGAAAGATCCCAGTTACTTTGGGAGGCCAAGGTGGGCGGATCACAAGGTCAGGAGGGATTGAGACCATCCTGGCCAACACGGTGAAACTCCGTTCTCTACTAAAAACACACAAAAAATTTAGCTGGGCGTGGTGGCGGATTGCCTGTTGGGTCCCAGCTACTGGGAGGCTGGAGGCAGGAGAACGGTGTGAACCCGGGATGGCGGAGCTTGCAGGTGAGCCAAGACCGGCCACCGCACCCTCAGCCTGGGTGGCAGAACGAGACTCTGTCTCAAAAAAAAAAAAAAAAAAAAAGAATAAGAAAGAAAGAATAAGGTACAAGTACTGTACCCAGCAGGGTCATCCATGTGAAAAATAAGAAAGAAATGGGGAACAGGATCACGATTTACTTCCTTCCCCGGCCCCAACCCTCCCCCTTCCAATTTTTTTAATGGCCCAGATAGAACCCACACCCCTTGATATCTAATTCTTCTTGTAGAACACGAGCCTGGATAAATACAAGAAAAAACTGTGAGGCTGACATAGCTCAGTGCAGGGCAGAGGGGAGAACTCAATCCAGGAGTTCCAGGAAACTGCAATCTCCACCTCCTGGGTTAAAGCGATTCTCCTGCCTCAGCCTCCTGAGGATTACAGGTGCACGTCAGCACACCCAACTAATTTTTGTATTTGTGTAGATACAGGGTTTCACCATGTTGGCCAGGATTGTCTCGATCTCCTGACTTCAGGTGATCCGCCAGCCTCAGCCTCCCAAAGTGCTGGGATTACAGGCATGAGCCACTGTGCCCAGCCTCGACATCTTTAAATAGTGTTCTGTAATATGATTTTTAATGACAGAAAAGTAGGCTATTCTACCTGTATATTATTGCACTTCCATTTCATTAGTCTTTTGTGGTTATTTTATATTGTACTCAATAAAAATTTTACTTTTAGAAAGGCTGTTCTGATGAACTTCCTCATAACTAAATTTTCATATACTTCCATGATTACTATCACTTAATATGTCTAGAAGTAAATAAATTTCTAAAAATGAAATTTCAGGTTCCAAACAGCAAAGATATTTGTAATATATTGTAAATTGTTCTTTAATAAGGTTGTCTCAATTTTTATTTCCTCTGGGAAAACGTGTGAGAGTTCTCTTCTATAAATTCTCGAATATTCTAGCTCTTATTTTAAAAATCTTCACCAATTTTATTGCCGAAGCATACCTCACTGAGTTTTTAGTATGTTTTTATTGCTAATGAGGTGGAACATTTTATCACTTTTCTTGGCCGTTTGTACTTCTTCTAGTATGTTTTACCCATTTGTACTTTTTGCCCTTTTTTTAAATTGATTTGCCTTATTTATGTGTTAAGAAAGGGAATATTTTCTTCCGTAATATACATTGCAAATGTTTTCCAGTTTGTCATCACCCTTACAATTCTATTTTTGGCATATCTTGATTATTTGAATTATTTTTCATTTTATATAGTATGTCTATCAATCATTTCCTTGCTCCAACACCTTTTACTGAATAATCTATCCATCCTCAAATATTTGAAATTCTACTTTTATCATTTACTCAATTCTTTGACGTACAATTCTTGGGTCTGTTAACTGAACAGAAGCAGGACTTTCTGTTCAGTTAAGAATAAAGAAAGATCCCAGTACTTGGGAGGCCAAGGTGGGCGGATCACAAGGTCAGGAGATTGAGACCATCCTGGCCAACCCGCGTGAACTCCGTCTCTCACTAAAAACCTAAACACTTAGCTCGGGCGTCGCCGTGGCGGATGCCGTGTCCCGCCCTCTCGGGGGCTGAGGCGGGCGACACGGTGTCGAACCCCGGGGAGCGGAGCTTGCCAGGAGCCGCTCCGCGGCCGCCTCCAGCTGCGGTGCCAGCAACGACGCACCCTGTCCAAAACAAAACCAAAACACAAAATAACCAGACAAGAACGAAGTACGCTACACGTACTGTACCCAGCAGGTCATCCATGTGAAAAATAAGAAATGGAACAGGATCACGATTTACTTCCTTCCCCGCCCAACCCTCCCCCTTCCAATTTTTTTAAGTGCCCAGATAGAACCCACACCCCTGATATCTAATTCTTCTTGTAGAACACGAGCCTGATAAATACCAAGAAAAAACTGGAGGCTGACATAGCTCAGTGCCAGGCAGAGGTGGAGAACTCAATCCAGGAGTCCAGGAACGCAGAGGAGAAGGCCAAGAAGGCCATCACGGATGTGAGCTCTGTTCTTCCTTTTCAGAGATGGGGTTTGGAACTGAGAAAGGGGGGCCTCTGAGCCAGGGCGCGGCAAGCATGTTTCATCTCTTATGACCACAATCGGTTAGTGGTGGCTTCCCAGACAGATGGAATGAGGTACAGTCTCAGCAGCGGCAAAGTGGGAGGGGAGGCTGAGGAAACAGCAGAGACTGGCCGGAGTCAGACAGGGGAGGCTCAGCACCACGATCCCAACATTCTCCTCTTCTGCAAGCTCCAGGTAGGGATGGGCGGACGGGGCCTCTGATGTGTCCTGTGAACTTAACCAGGCCGCCATGATGGCTGAGGAGCTAAAGAAGGAACAGGACACCAGCGCCCACCTGGAGCGGATGAAGAAGAACCTGGAGCAGACGGTGAAGGACCTGCAGCACCGTCTAGACGAGGCTGAGCAGCTGGCACTGAAGGGCGGGAAGAAGCAGATCCAGAAACTGGAGAACCGGGTAGAGTTTTTGAGAGGACTCTTACTCTGAAAGTGACAGCCTCAGACAGAACCACAGTCCAGAAATTGAGATGGTGGGAAAAGGCCATTGATTGAATAGATTGCAAATTCAGTTTCAGGACTGCTTGCAAAATTCCCTGTGAGCCTCATTTCTCACCTCTTTCTGTTTCATCTGTTCCTGTGCCCCAACACACACACACACACACACACACACCTATTTTGGCATGCTCACACCTCAGTAAATGTAATATCATGATGTGTGTTAATGTTCACATTCCATTTGCTGTGTAGATTCAGATGCACACACATACATGGAAAAAGCTATGAACATATACTTTAAAATTACACATTTTGATGCATTTACATTTTGGACCAAGTTTCACTTTGATAAACACGGCCCATCCTACATAAAATCTGCAGTTTCCGTTTTCTCCCAATCTCAGGTTTCCTTCCCTCCCCAGCTTTTCTCATTTCTCAGTGCAGGCTGCAGTTCTGGCACAGGTATGTCTCTTGCTCCAGCCCCCAAAGAGGGCGATCGGGGCTTCTTCCTTTAGGTTGATGCACCAGAAAAGTTCAACCCCCGACACCAGGACATCCTGCTCTTTCTTTATCTGGGAGCGTATCCTGCAGTTATTGTTCCGTTTCTTTGCTGACTGTTCCCTTTGTTTCCTGTCCCCCTTGCTTTTCCTTTTAGACCCATGTGGTTTATTTCAATCATTTTAAAATGGGCTGTACTAGCGGTTGACATTTTGGAGGAGGGCTCTGCGGAGGAGGCTGTTCGAGTGTCTCTTGTCCCAGGGAGACAGGAAATGAAAGAGTGGGAGGAAAGGAGGAGGAGGAGGGAAAGAGAAGGAGACAACTTTTCCCAGCAGGAAGGCCCCCAAATACTGTTATTCTTTATGCAAACCTGCAAACCACCGAGGATTTCCTCCCCAGGCACATGGTCCCATTAAATGTGAAAGGATTTTTTTGGGGGGGGTGCTAAAAACAAGGCCATAGATTTTTTGAATAACAAAAGTAAACACCAGGGAAGTTAGAACTTCCCCCCAAGTTCTTGAATGTTTATTTTCAATGGTCCCCAGTCCTATTCCATCACAATGAGTTTAGGCCTGTTCTTCTCATGGATCCCTCCTATGCGAAAAGGATTAGGTCTCATGACACCTTCTGCCATACTATGATTCCCAGATTGGCAGGGAGCCCTTGGCCACCCTCCCCCTCCCATGGTGAGGTGCCTTGACTGTCCTCCCATCCCCTGCCCAGTTATGTGACTTCCATAAACCTCACAGAAGCCTAGAAAGAATTCCTAGGAAAACAAATGTTTTGTAGAACCTGATGGAAGACTTTCCTGGGTCCAGGAGGTAGAGGGTGGGGAGGTTTTGGGAACAGTGCCCAGAGTAAGCCTGTCCCATTGATAGTTTTCAAGATTGATCTAGTGAGTCTCCAAGTCTGGAGTTGTCCCTGCTGTGCAGCCACTGTGATTCCTGGTGGAGTGGAGAATGCAGCTGGCTGCTGCCCCTCCTCGGCTTCAATCTTGGATTGTGGAGTTGGGACCACAGTTGGTGACTTGCGTCCTCAGTGGCTACCCTCTCCCCTCAAGACTTCGAGAAAGGCAGAAGCAACTATGAAATTAACAACACCTGTGTAGTGCTTTGTCATTCTAACCATACTTTCACATACTTTAATTCAATCTCCACATTTGAGGTAGGCTAGGTAGGAAATATTATCTCCATCCCAAATACACAGAAACTCATGCTCAGTGATGGCAACTGACTTGCTTTGGATCTATCAAGTGGGCCTGGAGAATGATTACTCCTAGCCCAGGTTCTCTTCATGATCCCTGTTGCCTTACTTGATCTGTAATCAGGGCAACCATGAACAGCTGGGTAGGTTTCAACTGCAAGGACAGGTCAGGTTAGCTTTTGCTGCCTTTGCCAAACTACCTGGCTCCACAAAAGGGTGCATCTGTGCAAAGCCTGACCCACCAGCTATGCTCTGTGCACCCGAGGCTGCCTCTGCCCAATGAGGGCATCTTCTTCTCACTTGCTCAAAGCACCTGCATGGACTTGTGGTGACCTTGTCAATAAAATATGGCTCCTGAGCCCTAGGAGGAGACATCTTGGCAAAAATCCCATTAGGGGATCTTTTTTTTTTTTTTTAACTTTAATTTCTGGGATACATGTGCAGAACGTGCAGGTTTGTTACTTAGGTATAAACGGGGTTTGTGGGTTGTGGGTTTGCTGCACCCATCAACCCATCATTTACATTAGGTATTACTTCTAACGCTATCCCTCCCCTAGCCCCCTGCCCCCCGACAAGTCCCAGTGTGTGATGTTCCCCTTACTGTGACCACGTGTTCTCATTGTTCAACTCCCACTTATGAGTGAGAACATGCGGTGTTTGGTTTCCTGTTCCTGTGTTAGTTTGCTGAGAATCATGGTTTCCAGCTTCATCCATGTCCCTGCAAAGGACATGAACTCGTCCTTTTTTATGGCTGCATAGTATTCCATGGTGTATATATGCCACATTTTCTTTATCCAGTCTATCATTGATGGGCATTTGGGTTGGTTTCAAGACTTTGCTATTGTGAATAGTGCTGCAGTAAACACATGTGTTCATGTGTCTTTATAGAACGATTTATAATCCTTTGGGAATGTATCCAATAATGGGATCGCTGGGTCAAATGGTATTTCTAGTTCTACATCCTTGAGGAATCGCCACACTGTCATCCACAATGGTTGGACTAATTTACACTCCCACCAACAGTGTAAAAGTGTTCCTATTTCTCCACATCCTCACCAGCATCTGTTGTTTTCCTGACTTTTTAACGACCATTAGGGGATCTTGAGTTCACGCTAGAATGATCGGCCCATGAGTCCATGAGAGAAGCCTGGGAGAGGAGACTTGAATTCTGTGTTCTTTTCATCCTACCCAGGTGCGGGAGCTGGAAAATGAGCTTGATGTGGAACAGAAGAGGGGAGCTGAAGCCCTGAAGGGAGCCCACAAGTACGAACGCAAAGTGAAGGAGATGACTTACCAGGTAGAGGTCCCAAAAACCTCCTCAGCGAATGCTGTATGGACCAAGCCCCATCAGAAGTGGCCATAGGTTTGCGGGCCCATGCCACATGTACCCTGTTTGCAGGCTGAGGAGGACCGCAAGAATATCCTCAGGCTCCAGGACCTGGTGGACAAGCTGCAGGCCAAAGTGAAGTCTTACAAGAGGCAGGCTGAGGAGGCGGTGAGCACAGGAGGTCCCCGGGAGTGCCCACAGACAGACAGTCCCTGGGGCAGCCTGGGTGTCCCCGCCATCCCCGAGTGGGAGCAGGTTCCTGGTTGGTAAAAGTCCTCTGAGCCTCAGGCCTGAGTTTGCATTTGCAGGCTATAAACACAGAGACACCTGTCCTCTTCCTCTCTTGGTCCATGTTAAGTCTTCCCCACCTTCACCACCTCTGTGTCCTCTTGCCTCACCCTACTTGACCAACCCCCTTCATCCCCTTCATCCTGCCCACTGTGACTTACTTGACCCACCCCAGAGCATGTTAGCCTACCCTGGCTGGCACTGAATCACCCTGACTCTCTCAAACCACCCCAGCCTACCCTCCCAGCCCTTCCTGCTCCCATGACCTGACTTGAGGCACCTCATCCTAATTCCCACCATCCCACCAGAGCCCATCGTCCTAGGCATCTCCAGCCTTCCTCAGCCCTCCCAACTCCCTCCACTCCATTCCATCCTTTTTGATCCACCCTTTGATCAAATAGGTGAAATCAACAGGAAATAAATGGAATGGGCTGAAATCCGTGTTTCCCAAAGTGTCTTCTGAGGACACTGGTTCTAAGGGATGTTAATAGCAGGAAGTTGGGCTGCCATGAGGAGGAGCTTATTATTTTACAGAAAATAAATAGTTTGGGAAAATCTCAGTTAAACAAAGTTACACTGGTTGCTTTACTTCAAGGATTTCTCAGATTGTGTAGATGTTGTAGAGTTTCATATGTCATCAACTCTACAAAGTGGAAGCAGGGTTCCAGAATATACCATTTCTCACACTTCATTGACTTTGGAACCTTCTTACTGTATGCAGAGCATCCCACAGAGCTACTGTTCTAAGGACCAAAATTTAGGGGAGCCTGCCCTGGACAAATGACTGAGTTTCTCCCATTGCTCTTTTTCCTCCCTTCCCTAGAGCCTGGTTGGTTCAATCCTAACCTCAGGGAAGCAGATTTGAACTGGTTCGATATTGAGAGCAATTCGTGCACATGGGATGAGTACAGTCCCAGCAGGTTTGGCAGGCTAGAGGGTGCCCAGGAGGACACCTTAGTCAGGAATCCTTGACATTCCCCCAAATGGACCAGTACAGTGGCCTGGCCCTAGACAGATGATGCTGGGCAGAGGCACAGGATGAGGGAGACTTGGGCCATTGGTCTCTATACCTTCAGATGCCTTGGGAGAGCGCTGGACTTAGGTCTCCCCCAAAGATCTCTGTGGAACAGATACCATATAGAAGAGGTGCAAGGGAACACTTTTGGAGATCCTAGGAGGGACAGTAGCACCTGCAAGGTGATTCGAGGCAGTACACATGGTTGTGAGCTCGGAGCCTTGTCCTCACACTCTAGAGAAAGCCTACCTGCCCTCTTTGCCATTGGGGAATCCAAGGCCCTGGTTGCTTAACTCCTCAGAGGCCTTCAGGGACAGGGCACCTCATAATCAGACTGAGGGGCTCTATAGCCTCATAACCCCTCTGTCTCCTGTGTAGGAGGAGCAGGCCAACACGCAGCTGTCCAGGTGCCGGAGAGTCCAACATGAGCTAGAGGAGGCCGCGGAGAGGGCGGACATCGCCGAGTCCCAGGTCAACAAGCTGAGGGCCAAGAGCCGAGACGTGGGCGGCCAGGTAAGAGCAGGTACCTGAGATGTAGAGGCCAGCTAAGAACAGACACTGAATATGGGGGCCAGGTAAGCGGTGAAAGCCTGAGTGTGGGAGGCTAGATAAAGGCAGGTACCTGAAATGTGGGGACCAGGTAAGAGCAGGTACCCGAGATGTAAGGGGCCAGGTAGGAGCAAGTACCTGAGTATGGCTTCTTCCCAAGAAGTCCCAAGCCCCGGAGGAGTTCCATGGACCACCCAGGGAGAACCTGGAGGATGACTGTTGATCCTCTCCTTCCTGCTGCTGGTCACACACTCCCAAATGCTACTGTTTTAGCAAAGACTACTGTGGTTCCAGGCTCCTGGGAGAATGAGCAGTGAGGCAGGACACTGTCATCCCTATCTCTCCCTGTTGCTACAGATGCTGCCCATGAAGCCCCTGATTTGCAGGGCATTTGTCCTGTCGCTAGTAGCTAGATTGGTTTGCTTTTACAATGTGCAAAGGGAAACAATGCCATTCCTTAATGTGTCTCTGAAGTTCCAGATTTTCCAGCTGCTCCACTTCAACGTGATGTTCAGTCTCCCGTTTAGTTGACTCATTTCCTATGTACAATTGTTTTTTCTCCCACAGAAGATGGAAGAATGAGGCTCACCTGATGCTCGTTGCCATGGGACACCTCAGAGAGAGTGGAGGGAAAATGTGTGAGAAATAAATTCTCCTAAATACTCGGATTCCCGGCTCTGCTGTGTTTATTATCATGGTCCATTCCTCTTCCATGAAGCTGATATGTAGATTCTTGCTGCTCTATTGTAAATATTAAAAAAGGGATGTGAAAGTAGAGGATCTTTGCTCCAAGTAGAAAACATGGAAATTCAAACCATGGCCAGGTAAATCACTAGCTTCCACAAACATTTAAAAATAAAGACCCTATGTCACTCTACATCTCTCAGAATAGCTATCATCAGAAAACGAAAGATAAGTGTTTTTTATCTTTTCTCAAGATCATACAATCACCATCACCACCATCATCATCACCATCACCATCTTCTCAAGATCACCATTACCACCATCACCATCATCATCACCACTACCATCATCACCATCATCATCATCACCACCATCACCTTCTCAAGATCATACCATCATCATCATCACTACCATCACCATCATCATCACCATCACCATCTTCTCAAGATCACCATCACCACCATCACCATCGTCATCATCACCATCACTATCCTCTCAAGAGCACCATCATCACCATCATCATCACCACCACTACCACCTCAAGATCACCGTCATCATCACCACCACCATCTTCTCAAGATCACCATCATCACCATCACCATCATCACCACCACCACCACCTTCTCAAGATCACCATCACCATCATCATTGCTGAAAGAATCAATTGAAATGATCTTTTCAATTGCCTCATCTTCACAGTCAAAAAAAATCCAAGGTCAGGAGGGAGAATAATATTATTTCAAACACACAGAACAACACTGTATGACGCTAAGTGGTCACACGCCCATTTTTCTCTTTTCCATTCCATCCTCCCAACAAGCCTATTAGAAGACCAAGCAAGTATAATACCCTCATTTTCTGGAGGTGATGCAGACAAGTTATGACTTGCCCAGTGTTTGCGGAGGAGACGAGATTGCAGCTCTTCAGTCTCACATTGGTGGGTTTTCCCTCTGCAAAGACAGGTGGCCAGGATCCTGAGTCCCAACCTGTCAGGGTCCCAATTCTGGTACCACTCACTAGCTTTGAGAACCTGGGCAAGTTACTTCATGACTTTAAGCCTCTGTTTCCCCAGATGTAAAATAGAGTGTAACAGTTTATAGGGTTGTTTTAGGAAGTAAATAAGAATATGCAAGAAGCACAGGTGGTCTAGAGTGGGGCACACAGTAAGCACTCTGATAACCCATTATCCTGATGCAGAGGGTTGAGACCTGGTCCCAGGAGGTAGGTGGAGTACAAGACAGGGATTCAGTTGGACAACAGTCTGAGGTTTTGGCCATGTCTCTAAGGGGTTTTCTCTGGTTTGAGAAGTTAACATATGGAGTTGGGGGTCATGTTTCAAATCCTGTGGATTCACTTCTCCCTGACACACCAACAAAACAAAATCTGAATTCCATCTTCTCAAGAACTCTCAGTTCAGTGGGGGCTCTATAGGATTAAGATACCTCCAAGGAGCTGTGCATTTACCTGGCTCCCATATCCCAGCTCCTGACCCCCGGATTTATGAGTCAGAAGAGAAAGAATATTCCTATATCCTTCACAGTACATAACAGCGTCTTATACTTAATCAGAACTCTGATTATTGAAGGAATGAATTAGTGAATGAATAAGAGAGACACCAGTTACTCCCTGATGGTAAGTAACTAAAGATAAACATCTGTTTTCTTTTCTGGGGACTAGACGAAAGAGAAGAGAGTGAAGCTGAGGTTTGTGTGCTGAGTTTTCTTTCCCAGCATGTATATGTCAAATTTCATCTGGCAGCGGGAAACCAGTCTTAAGCCCTCAGGTTGAGCTGGGTACCTCTGGACCCTCCTACTCTCTTGCAAAATTGAAAAGGAGGTAGAGGGGACCTTGCCTTGGGTCTTCCACACCGTAAGACAGGGAGTGCACAGAACTAGAACAAAAGCAAGAAAGCTTGGGCTCCTATCAATACTTTCCAGACGGCCTTGGGCAAGTCAAGAAATGTTCCCGAGCCTCAACATGGGGCTAAAAGTCCTGGCATTACCAACCTACAGGATGCAGTTGTTAAAAGGTTCCCATGCAATGCACAAAAACGTTTCCTCAACTATGCAGCATTGCCCAAATTGAAGATGGCATTGTTGCTTCTGTTTTACTAACAATAATGAAAATAATAATGCTGTTATTGTTGTTATTCAGGAGTAAAACCCAGCCTCCAAACCTGAACTTTCAGCTCTAGGGAGTTGGAGAGCAGTGCCTACCCTGGCCCAATGCCCCCTTCGAAACAGAGCTTTGCTGCCACCTCCTGGCCGTGGAAAGGCATGCTTTTCATTATACAAATGACCTAGAGATGAAACTCATAACATCTTGGATTAGCTATTCAGAGTCAGAGGTGTCACTGGGAATCATGTTCATCTGGAACAGCCCACTGGTTTTGCAAATGACAGAAATCCAGGTTAGTAATAGGATCTGGTAACCCCTCAAGATATAGCATCAGAATCATATATCCCAGGTCTTTTGGCTCCCAGACCAGGACTTCCCCAACTGAGTATCCACAGAAAAGGACCTTACAGAATCTTGAGATGGAGGGCTAAGACTCACTGGACAGGCAAAGAGTGGTCCCTAGTGATGGCCTTGGCAGTAAAGAGTATGACATGGCCAAGGGGTCTCTCCCCAAACCTCATGCTCCTCATCCTAGAAGACTCTGCCAGGCTGGAAGAGAAGTGTTGTACCCAGGGGAGAAGCAGTACACCTACACAAATAGCCTCCTGCCCTTCACAGGAACAGGTGACCAGACCCTAAACGTTTCTGGGATGAAGGTGGCCCATAGCAATTCCAAAAGCGAGGTTCCCTGGCCCTTTCTCTAGCCCAACACAGGACAGGACGTGCACTCCACGACAGGATACTCAAGGTGCCATTTGACCCTTGAAACCCTTTCCACCTTTCTCCAACGTGCTCAAGGCCCCCAAGAGGTTGACATCGGTGGGATCCCTTGCCCTGGCCTTTGGGTGGGCCTAGCCAAAGAGGAGCTGGGATAGAAGAGTAGAGCGAAGGACATTGAGAGCAGTATTTATTCCCTGTCTCTCCCTGTAGTCGCAAATCCCATTCCATGTCAGGTATCCCAGCCCCCCAACCCTTCTGTCTCCAGGTTCTGATAACCAAGTCCCTCTTACCCCCAGCTTGTACCTCCTTGCAGGCCTAGGGAAGGTAATGAAGCCCTGTTAATAGACCTGGAATTCTACTCTATCTCTGTGGTTTTTCTATACCTGCCCACACCTTTGTAGAGAGTCTGTTCCTCAAACAGTCCTCATATTATGCTAAATTGGATGTTGACATGGTTTGGATTTGTGTCCCCGCCCAAATCTCATGTCAAATTGTAATCGCCAGTGTTGGAGGCGGGGCCTAATGGGAGGTGATTGGATCATGGAGGTGGATTTTCCCCCCTTGCTGTTCTTGTGATAGTGAGTTCTCAAGAGATCTGGTTGTTTACAAATGTGTAGCACCTCCCACTCCTCTCTTTTCCTCCTGCTCCAGTCGCGTAAGACATTGCCTGCTTCCCCTTGCCTTCTGCCATGATTGTAAGTTTCCTGAGGCTTCCCCAGACCCTGTACAGCCCGCAGAAACATGAACTAACTAAACCTCTTTATAAATTACCTTGTCTCAGGTAGTTCTTTGTAACAGTGGGGGAACAGACTAATACAACTGTGCTATCTGTTTTCCGCAGGTTCAACTTGCCTGATACAGGACTCCTGCCCTCTGCTTTATAGCCCCTTCTACAGAGCAGGACCAGCTGACCATGCAAGGTAAGAGTGCTACCTCACAGCTATTTGTGAATACCTTCAGGTCATAAATTCCCTCAGTAGACAGTAATGTATTCAGTTTCATTGCACACTTCAACTTGGCACTGACCTTCACCAAAATCAAGCTTTTAAGATTGCTTTCAGGTCTCTTTGTTTTTTTTTTTTTTTTTTTTTGGAAACATGATCTGGCTCTGTCACCCAGACTGGAGTGCAGTGGCATGATCCTGGCTCACTGCAGCCTCGACCTCCTGGACTCCAGCCATCCTTCCACCTCAGCCTGCTGGGTAGCCGAGACTACAGGGGTGCGCCATCACACCTGGCTGATGTTTGTATTTTTTGTGGAGACAGGGTTTCGCCATGTTGCCCAGGCTGGTCTCAAACTCCTGGGCTCAAGAGATCCACTTGCCTCAGCCTCCTAAACTGCTGGGATTGGCATGAGCCACTGTGCCCGGCCTCAGGTCTCTTTTTTAATTCAAGCCAGAGCTTACACTCCTAACTCTTGAAGAAGCAATCATTTCTACCTGGCACTAAGTGAGATCAGTGGTGGCCTGGAACTAGCTCATTCCAACTCAGAAGAGCCAATTACAAAATTTTCAGGAATTTTGTGAGCCAGTTGTTAAACAGAGACGCTGTCAAAATTAAATTATGTAACTTACAATTAAATAAATTATATTAATAAGAAAGGTACTAAATAGTCAAAACTTACAACTTCTTAATTATTTACTACATTGTATCTACAATCTCTTGAGGTTACCGACAACTATTAAATCTGTGTGGTGAAAATACTATCTAATCATGTGCTCTTTGTACCTCTTTCCATCTCTGCATTCAGTGTTGTTATGTTGTTAGCTTGGGATTAGCCATGGCTGGAATATTTGCACCACAGAAATTGGCAAACACTATAGAAGAGGGTTTTTTCCTTTCTTTGTTAAACATTTACCAGTACATTACTGAGTGGACCTAGTGAAATCCAAGTAAAAATACAACTGCAGCTCTGTATATAAAAATCCTGGAGGCTGGGCACAGTGGCTCACACCTGTAATCCCAGCACTTTGGGAGGCCAAGGCAGGTGGATCACCTGAGGTCAGGAGTTCAAGACCAGCCTGGCCAACAT